AGAGTTGTCTGCTCCTAGTTTACATTTAATAAAGTTTTCCTTTAACTAAGATACATGATGATGAAATGACTTCCTAATATTGCACATGTTACATATATGAAGAAGAGTTATTGCTATTGTTATCTTTTTTTGAAGTTTTTTCTTGTGAAAAAAATTTTTTTAAAAAATTATTATAAAAGGAAATTTTCTAAAATTTTGAGAATCAGCAAAAAGAATTTTTTTAATATTTAAGTTGTAATCTTGTTCTATTATATTATTATTTTTTATTAATCATTTTTTGTTCTTATTTATGATATCAAAAAAAAAAAAAATTGAATTTTGATTCATTATTATTATTTTCAAAAATGAATATATCTATATAAATAGTTTGCTTTTTTATTATTATATCTTTAATTATTAGAAGTTGATTGTTTAATATATCTATTTTATTGTTTAAACTTTTTATGTTTGTTAGAATATTTTTTAGATAATTTTATAGATCACCTGCTTTAGATTTTATTTTGTCTTCTAATTATTTATGGTAACTAAGTTTTTGATTTTTTATTGTTTTACTTTTGCTTTCAATTATGGAATATCTACTAGTTCTATTTTTTTCTTGTCTTGTTTTTCTATTGTGATGATATCTAGTTTACCTTTAATCTATAGAACTTTAATTTTTATAGGAACAATAATAAAATTTATAAATTTTGTATTTGATAATAAGTTTGAAGCCAAACTTTTATTTATTTCTATTTTCTTGTATCTGGATCTTTAGAAAGACTTCTTGTTATATTTTTAGGATTTTTTTTTCTATATTAATAGTATTTTTAACATTTAAAAAAAGTATAGTTTTTATAAAAATATATATTATAAATATAAATAATCTTTATTTTCTTTTGTTACAAAGCAAATTATTTTAAAGTTCTGTTTCTTGAATATAAAGAAGTCTTTTAATATATAGCATATTTTAACTTTAGTACTATTTAATGTTTTAACTACTAAACAAGTTTTAAAGTTGTATTTTAAGTTTAAGAAAAGTATTAAAATTATATTAATAAATAAGTATAAAAACTTTTTGTAAACATTTTTTTTTATATATAGTCAAAGAATTAGTATTGTATAATTAATCAATTTAATTGATTTTAAATTAAATAATAATAATTAAATTTATAAATTAAATTAAATTGATTTTAGATAACTATATTATAATTTAAATACTATATATTATATTACATAATATTTTATATAGTATTAATAATAAGTCTTTAAAGTATTTAATATATTGTATAAAATTTCATAGATTATACATAGCATGTTCTTTTTGAAACCCAAAATTTATAATTCTTTACTTTAATAAAAACAAAGTTCAAAAAAATACTATAAATCAATAATTTGAATAGTAAAAAACTATTATAAATGGTTTTTTTTATAATTCTTAATTTAGAATTTTTAATATTTCCTAATAAGGGACACTTGACTTTTGTCCTTGTCTCCCCTTAAGAACCCATCTTTATATAGTATTCTAAATAACCAATCTAAAAAGTTAATTGGTAAAAAAAAAAAAATTACTAATAAAAAAATTCAAAGAATACTATTCAAAGGAAATACACTATACGATAAATCGGTCCATCTGGCCTGATCCGGTCTAATTTCAAGATGGACCGTGATTCCAGAATTATTTTAGGATCGCCCAATTTTTATAATTCTGGACGGAGTTACAGTAATGCTGTTATAATTTTAGGGACCGTTAGGACCGTACTGGAACCGATTAATATTAATAAATATATAATATAAGGTAGAATGGTATATTAGGCTCGATTTTTATAATTCCGGCCGGAATAATAAGTGCGTTAAATGCCAAGTGATTGAGCCTGGAAATAGAAATTACAATAGACTTTGGGGTCATCTCACGTGGACAATTGAATTTACGGTTCAACAGTCATGCAATTTTATCTTGCACTCATGTTCTAATCCTGTATCTGCATTAGCTTAACCCTTTATGGTATGGTACAATGTCGTCAATAGCATCTTGATCGATAACAGGAATGGTTTCCCACGAGATTCTCGATTATAATAAAAAAAAAAAGTACCCCTACATGTAATATAAGAACGAGCTTTTTCTCGTCGGTCACCCTCGCCAGGCGTACTCTATTAATGTGAATCCTACTTTCTCTTCACACTTTAGTTACACCAGCTGCCGCCTCGGAGACACAATTATTTTGATCTTGTGACGTTAATAGATGGTTTTCTTTCAAGCTTTAGCCATTCCTAGTTTTAGCCGATTTCCCCCGGTCCGAGAACGTATCGTTTGTGCGATGTTTGGTTATTTTTTTGGTGTCGTTATTTCTTTTATCGCTATTGGAATATTCTTGTTTCAACGGGATCGATACGTAATAGAGATATTCAAGTGTAACCTAGTTACGCACGCAATAGATGGACCTGCAGTTTACAGTTAGCAATTATTAGACGAGAGACATTCTATTTTTATTTGATTAATTCGTGTAAACAAACTTTTGACATTTCTGTACATACGTCCAGTAGGTGAACTCCATATAAATAACAAATTCCCTTTCCTTCCGATGATCGTACTAATGCAAAATATATATGAAAAAAAAGTGGAAGTCTTTTTGGGGACCAGTTTATTTTTAAGCTTGCTCAAAAAAAAAAAAAAAAAGCAACCAACTTGACCAATCCTTTATATGTTCGTATTATAAATACACACTCATTTGCAAATACTTTTCTTATCTAATCCTTTCCTCCTTCCTCTACCGTAAAATCATTCCTTTTTCCCCTTCAGACCGCATTATTCCGATTAAACGGATAATAATAGAAAGCATTGCCTTTATTTGTATAGTAATAAACGACCATAGCAGTCGTAAATTCGTGAATCATATCTATCTATCAGTTCACCTCCTAAACTCACTCATTCCCATCCATAATCTTTTTTTTTTAAATGTCGACAGATTTTACGGCGATACTGTTGCGAGACCTGAGTAAACTGCTGGAAAAGGGAGTCGATTACAACGTATTGATTCAAGTCGGCGAGGAGCCAAACGTCAAATCATTTAAAGCACATTCCGGTATACTTCGAGCGAGATGTCCGTACTTCCAGGCTGCATTATCGGAAACCTGGGTGAAACACGAGGACGGAATAATCCTATTTTCCAAACCAAATATATCAGCGGAAACATTCGAAATTATACTCAGGTTGGTTAACAATCGTCATCATCTTTTTCACCGGTCTCGTGATCGATTAATTAATAATCATTGACGGTTGAACTTTACCAATAGGTATATATATACAGGAAGAATATCGTTTGAACAACGTGACGGCGCTAATATTTTAAGTTTACTGACGGCAGCCGATGAATTAATCCTTCACGACCTGTTCGGTAGCATTCAACAACATTTGATCATCCACAAATCTCAATGGATGCACGACAATTTCAGCTTAGTGCGTAAAACCGTGTTTCAAAATGATCGACTAAAAAAGTTACAGGAATTTTGTGTCGACAAAATTTGTAGGGAACCCGAGTTGTTGTTCAAATCTGATGATTATAGTTCGGTCAACCTCAATGTCCTGCTAAGGGTACTTCAACGAGATGATTTACAGCTGGATGAAGTTGAAATTTGGAATTATTTGGTACAATGGGGAATCTACCAGACCTCCGAGACGGTGTCGAGTTCATCGAAGGATCTCACCAAACTTCCTATATCCGAATGGTCGACCGAACACTTGGTCATACTACGATCGACCATACAACAATGCGTGCCATTGATCAGGATGTTTCAGATTTCTTCCAGGGATTTTTATAGTAAGGTGATGCCATACCAGAGCATCTTACCGCCAGCACTCTACGAGGACATCATGAGATATCACATGGTACCCGATTGTCCACGTCCCACCTCATTAATGCCAGCGAGAAGAGGTGGAATTGAATCAAATCTACTTCGAGCGAAACATGTGGCATTAATCTCCAGCTGGATGGATCGCAACGATCTGAACGTTTTCTGTAACGCCACAAGTATACCTTATGAATTTAGCAATGTTCCCTACGAGTTCAAACTCCTGTTGCGAGGGAGTAGAGATGGCTTCTCTCCACAAGCATTTCATTCCAGATGCGACTTCCAAGGTGCCACGTTGTTAGTGTTGAAAGTTCACGGGATAGGACATTTGATAGGCGGTTACAACCCCTTGAACTGGGATTCCACAAACAAATGGGGTAACACCAAAGATAGCTTTCTGTTTTCGCTTGGTGACGGAGAGGACATACGTAATTCGATTTTGTCAAGGATACAAGAGAATAACCGGGCCGTACTGTGTTCACAAGCAATCGGAGCGTGTTTCGGGAGCGGTGACTTGGTGATGGGAGGTACCCATTCGAACTTCAATGTGGAATTAGGGTGTTCGTGCAAACGGCAATCCTACGAACGACCGTTGATGAACACCAACCATGATCGATTTAGTGTTGACGAGTACGAGGTGTTTAAGATCGTGCCCAGGATTGGCGCGAACGTGGCAATGACGAGACCAAATCTCACTAGTAGTGCACCAATTATTAGTAAGAGTAGTAGCAGTAGTACCAACAGTAGTAATAGCAGTGGTAGCAGTAGGGGCAGTGGAAGATTTTCATTGTTATTATCCCAACTTCACTCTCAACAATAGACGGGCGGGCCATTTTATTGACGAAGACATTTTTCTTTGAGTGACGGGATAGATGTGGAAGGAATTTACTGTATGCATCACGAGATTATAATGTTAAGGGGGTAAAGAAATCGTCAAGTGAACGAGTCTCTGTACGCTGTTGTATTCTAGTGATGACAACAAAATTTTTATTTAGAGTTGGCGATTAGATTTGATCAAATACAAATGTGATTAAAAATTTAGACGAGTCGCGCGCGTTTTACAAATGATGCTAGACTTACTATGATGTTTTTCTTTTTCGTTCTTTATTTATTTATTTATTTTATTTTTTTCGTGATGAATAGCCAAAGAAAGATTGATAATGGAATAAGTGTCTAGAATGCGATTTACTGCAAGTGTAAATTCCTTAAACAAATTATAGTATATGCCAGCGGAAATTCCGTGGCGACCATTTTAAATTATTTTAGATTGAACATATTGCATAATTTTATTTCATCAGAGATAATAATATTAATGTGCGATCGGGAGTCTCGCGCGTTCTCCTATAAAAGGGAAAGAAAAAAAGAAAAACGCACATAACTCCGATCATAAGATCTTCCCTCGACTTTATTAGATCATTAATACTCAACGACATCCATGAGTACATAAAGATTAGCTCTAAAGTGATGATAATGATGATGATGATGATGATGATGACGGTGACCTACACATTAAATGACGGAGATAACAAGTACTCTCTCTCTATTCTATCGACAATATTACCATAATATTAATAATAAATCAAATATAAATTCTTAACAATCCAACAGCATGAAGCTTCTTCTTAGGTCCGCATTAAGGATGGCAATAGCATCAAATAGCCTCTTTAAAATTATTCCTCTGCCACCTAGCTCGTGACCATCCAAGAATAGTCTTGCTTTGTTGAAGTTGGTTTCCTTAACGTTGGATGCCGCGTTCCCACCGGCGTTATTTGCAGCAGATGCGTTAGCCATATCCTCTATCCATTCATCTACTTTCTTTGCTGCGACGTTGGCCGATGCAAGGATTGGTTCAATGGATTTTAAGTAAACGATCGTGAAATGAAACTTTTCGTGAGTCGTGTACGCGTAGTAGCCCAACGCGACGCTCAGGATACAACTGATGGTACTCTTTTTTTTTTTTTTTTTTTTGCAAAACATCGTTATCGTAAACATATATTGCTACTTAATAAAAAAATCGTCACGAGTAATGTCGCAATTTTTTTTTTTCTTTTTACCTTTATATTATTAACTGTCGCCATTCTTCTGTCGAGAAGATACATAGCTGCTAAGCAAACAAAAACTAACATCATTACAAATCTCTAAACTCAGGTGATTCATCATGCCTTCTTTCGAAGCGTCATATATCTTACGTCCCTTATAGGCTATATGTTATTCCTCAGCGAGCTGTATGGAGAATTTAAGTATCCCTCTTGGACACCTTTCATCGCTCAACGTCAATTGAAAGTGTCTAAAGAAGATATTCCACAAGAGTTCGAGAAAAACGAACATAGCATCATTCAAACCGAGATGCAAGAAAGTGAAGGTGATCGAAACTTAAAATCAATTTATCGACACGATTCGCGTACATAATTTGCTGATCTAATTCGGTTGAAATTGCGTAGAACCCTTCGGCAAACTTCGTCTAGTTATAGATCAACTACGTTACAATATAGAACACTCCTCCTAATAATGCTCCGCCGATGACTACGGCCCCGACAGTGGTATGCACACTCCACATCCATTGAGCCAGTCCAACAAAAAAAAGCACAAGCGAGCAGTATAATAGCACCGGTAGCGCCGCTATAATCTCTCTCATTTTCCACATTTCCATTCCTCCGTACCGGAACTGTCTTCGCTTCACACGGTCTTCCGGAGATGACCCACTTCGACTAACGGCCGCGTCGTATTCAGCTACCCATTGTAGTGATACTACACTCGCCAAAGCTGCGACGATACTGGCACTCAAGCTAGCGAAGAAGAGGCAGTTCACTGATACGGCGTAAGGTGCGGGAGAGAATGAGGTGCGGGAGTAGGGTGTATGAGTGCCGTTGGCGGTGTTGTTGATGAAGAAGATGAGAGCGTCGACCATTACATCAGCAGGATCTTGTTGGAGCATCTGCTTGCTCTCAATGATGAATGCTGAAAGGACAGAGGAGAATATGGCGGCCTAAATTTCTTCAACAACGAATGCAATCACTATCTAGGTGTAGACTCACAAAAACCAGGAGAAAGTTAAGACTGGATGTCCAATCTTTCACCAGTTCATTATCTGCGACGATTGATTCGTTTATATAGACCTCCCAGATTGAAGATTCATTTGGGAATGGAACTGCCGGATTGCCCTGCGGCGCTCGAGGCACTTTGAACGGTGAAGGGACTAAAAACTTTCATTGTGAGTCATATTTCTGATCCACATGTGAAACTAGAGGCCTACGTGGTTGTTTCTGACCTTGGTTCATGCGTCGGTTGTGGATGGTGTCAAGGTGTGGCTTGATACAACTTGGACATTTCGATTCATTCGCCATGTCATGTACAATCCTACTATCCCCTTTATTAATTTACTTTCCAGCATTCTACTCAACAATATATTGCTATTTTCAACCTGCTAAATCATTTACTGGCACACATAAGGGAAATAAGCTGAAAGGAATTTGTGTATATTCGCTAGTCTATAACACGATTGGAGAGTTATTTTGTTTATACATCCTTCCAAATGGAAATAAGTTTCAGTTTGGCTTAACTTTGGGACCGAACAAAAGGAGAGAAGGAACGTTGCAAGGAAGGGACAGGAAAAAGAAAATGCATGTTAGGAAAATGAGAGTAAATATGCAAAACAAAAGATTGTGGGGTTCGCTTCCCTCCAAAGGGCGCGTACATCCCTATCGGGCTCTTGCGGCATTCCTAGTCGCCTTCATCGACACGCCCGTCTTTACTCGTTAAATAAAGTCAACGAGTTGCCATCGGGTTCTTTCTTTGCCGTTCTTCAGCAGTGATTAGAGGGAACCCAGGACTCGGAGGTATGATAATCGAGTCTGCGTCCGGATCCTTGCGCGAAGAATCGACACCCATCCATGGAGTGCCAGGCGTACTCGGTGTGACGGGCATTGTGACCCCGAGAGAAGGAAGAGAGAGCGCAAAATCTTCGTCCGTATCAAACGGGGTGGGAATGATGGACTCGAAGGGCGGTGATGGGAGCGGAGGTGGAATGTACAAGGTTTGTGATTGAGACTGTGCTTGAGCCATAGAAGAAGAGGGTTCTGAAGGGGATGGAAGGGCCGCGGAAGAGGAATGAGAAGCTAAATGTCTGGGACGGTTGGGGCTGATCGCCCTGTTGGGGCTATTGCTGCCACTTTGAAGAGGTAAAGCGGGTGGAGGCGGTAACCTCCCGTTTGTGCTGAGGAGAGACGCCACAGTATGTGAGGGTCTCGTCGCAGGTCGGTCGCCCCCGGTCCCAATAACCTTTGAATCTGTCAGGGATCGCTGTGCCCTCGGTTTGATGGGTTTGGAGAAGTAAACAGGGGTCCGTGGTGTATAAGGGGAAATGGGAGATTGACCATCAGCTGTCAAACCCGGCGTCCGTATTGAACTTGCCGTCTGAGGTGTTCGAGGACTAGACGACAATATCGTGCGCGGCGATAGTGTACTGACAGCAGGCCGGGTGGTGTCAAATCCATCCTCTCCAACATCCTGAGGGATATTAGCCCTAGTGATGCGTTGTGTCATCTTGACAGGTGGTCGCGTCGTTGTTGTGGACAACGAGTTAAGGGAAGGAGATAACGTCAGCTTGGCGGCCCGCTTGGGGATCACGGCATTGGCACTCAGACTCCTGTTTACATCCAACATCTTTGGAGAGGAAGAAGCAGTAGGTGTTAGCCCCTTGCGTTCGAAATAACCCCACAACTCTTCACTATTCTCCGCTCCGCCCTCCGGATGTTCTGGTACCACCGAAGGAACATGAATTGGTAACGATGGCCTTCTGCCGTATGGAACCGCAATTTTAGTAGAAGAGGTAGAAACCGCAGTTG